AGGCAGTTTCTTGTTTGCATTTACATTCTGCCTCTTCTGGCATTTTATTATCTGTAGCTCTGCTGGCTTTTAGAGTATACTTGAATAAGAAGCATTGCTGCTGAGGCAGCTGTACGAAAAGGTACTTCTTCCAGAATTAAGGAACTCATCTTTGGAGCACCTTCAGATTAATTTTGTTTTTCCTTATTTTGAAGTGGATTCAAAATAAATGGTCTTTTGGTGTTTGGGTTTCCAGCTCTTTGGGACTTTCAGACCTTAACCTTCCTAGTTCAAACACCATTAGTTAAAGTCCTTCATTTCCATTAAAGTGCAGCCTGCTAGATAAATGGGTTTCACGCCCAGAGGCCATCATTTGGCCAGTTTATGGAGAGGGCCTGCTTTGCTTTGAATCAAGGCAACTGGTGAAGGCGCTCAGTATGTTGGCAGCAGTATCCCAGAGATTGAACCTAGTTCTATTCTCCTCATCTTGGATACCAGCTGCTTGAAGCCAGGGCCCTTCACTCTGCATTCCACTTTAGAGAGGAAGCCCTACTGTCTTTTTCTGGTTCAGAGCTGTCCCTTCTTGCCATATGAATAGATGCACACGTGCAGCTATTTACTACCCTGCGAACCCCAATCACTTACCTGCCTGTAACATCTGGAAAGGCACATTTGTTTTAAAGAAACACTGTTTCTTTGGGAGGGCACTTTCTGCAGGACTTTGGTGGGGCCTTAGTTACCACCCCCCAGTTCTTTGCCTCTCAGCTTTTAATGAAAGATGAATCAGATTTTGGTGCAGTCAGGTCACAATTCTTTAGAATGCTTATACCCAGGGGCATTTCCTGTTTCTAGTGATGGCTTTCCACTTTAGTAGTGGAGTTTCTTGAGGCTAGCTCACAGAATTTCTAACTGAATATTGTAAGGATGATTGATAGATACTTGCCTTTTCAATTAATCATATTATCACCTTTCCCACCCTCTGGAATTTAAATTTCCTTCTCTAGGCTGGTCCTGGAAATTAATATCTTTTGGTAAAGCTTAGATTTAGAAGGCTTCTGAGTCCCTGTACAGATGGTCTGTGGCTTCTCTTTGCTTACTGACCTCTGCCTGCAGCCTGGCAGGCCATACTGTATGTTACGGATGTCCAGGGGAAAATAGAACTGAGGTGAAACACGTTCCCTGGGTACTTAAACTGTCATTCTGCCACCTTTCTAATGGTGAGAGGCTGGTGGAGAGATGCTGCAATGCTTGATAATCATTTGGCCACACGGAAAATTCCAAAGGGAGCTCTTGCTGGTGCTTTAAACCAAAACTCCTGGACACTTAGAGAATTCCATGAATCTAGCACAGAATAACCATTCTTGCCCAAATGTACACCCTTTCTCTCAATTTAAAAAGAAAAATTCAAGCCCAGGCCAAGGGTAATTTTTACTGGAAACCAGGGGAGTGGGGGAGGGAGGGAACTAAGCAAGTTGTGGGTAAGCCATCCTGCTCCTACCTGGTGTCTGTATCGGGATCACCCAGCACCGTGTGCCAGTGCCTTTCCTTCACTGCAGATGGAGCCCAACCTTGTCCACCTGGGTGAGGAGACCCTCTGCCACCCCAGGGGTAAACCTTAAAGAAGGGGTCTTGAAGAGCCCAAAGGACACTCACATGCTAAGGTGTCTATTTTAAGCATCTTAAAAGATTTTATTTAATAAAAATAGCCCTTCCCTTAGTGCCACCAATGGCCCAGTTCCATCCATTCTGAATGGAAAAGCGGAGACTGCCAGCACTTTCCTCGTCTTCCCTCTGTCTCTCTGATGTGTCGTCTCCTCACCCACCCTCCCATCCCATCCGTCCCACTATTGTGGATGGATAGCAGAGGGCACCATGCAGTCCTTGAGGCAGTCCTGTGTGATCCCATGATCAATTTGTTTTTTTAACTGTCCTTCCAAACCAGTGGGTGATTGAAAATTAGGGAAAAAATTCAGTTCTCATCAATGGTTGCTGTTATAGTTAAATCAATAAAGATCTCTTGAGTATCAACTTGGTGTTTTAATTTTTTAAAAATTTCAGGTGAAATCCAACTGAGGGTTATTTCACATTTGGGGAGTCTTGGCTGGTAGGGAGGTGTGCAAAGGTAGTTGGCTGCTTTATGTATCAGTTCTCGACACATGTAGCTCACTTTGTCAATCTGGGCCTATATATGCAAGATGTGACCCTTTCCTGGGGAGCAAGAGCCTGGTTCTCTGCTCAGGAGCTTGGAAGCGAACATGTCTCTACTGGGCTGAAACCACATGATGCCTTTCTCTGGGCACCAGCCTTAAGGAGCCCAAACAACTTTCCTTTCTCTGAGAGGCTGCCCATGGCCCAAAGCGCACCTGTTAGACACCCACCCTGTCTGATGTCTTAAACTGGGTTGTGCTGCAGGGACATCAGATTCCTTGCTATTACAATCCAGCAAGTCTTGCTTGTTAGTATTGAGGACAAGCATTCTGTCCTTTTGTGTTGTAGAGCTTGTGAACAGAGATCCACAGAATAAAGTGACTTGAGGAAGCTTCCCTGTGAAGACTGCAGAGGTTCAGGGCACAGGCTTTGGAGTCGGACAGTTTCAGTTCCAGCCGTGCTGCTTAGTAACCATGTCACCTCCAGCAGCATTCTTACTCTCTAAGCCTCTATTTTCTCTGAAACAGGGTCAAGAGGTAACTTCTAGGTTGTTTTGAGACTCAGGTACCTGAGACCATTGAGAACCTAAAGCCTGAGAGTTCAGTAAACAGTAGTTCTTGTTAAGGGACTCAAGCACAGCCCAGTTGGCAGGGACAACCAGAGGTGGTTCAGCTCCATCTCCTGTTTTGAGAGTGGAGCATGCTTCACCACTGCAGCCAATCACCCGGTCATGGGATCTCTAGAACTAAAGAATCTCTTTAAGGGAGGTTGAGGCCAAAATAACCTTAAAAACACTTTCATACTTGTTTTACTCTGCCCCAAAAGCAATTAGGATCTTACTGCTAATAAAAAAGCGAGGCTTTTCTAGATGGAGATAAACCTCAGGTTATGGTGCTGAGGGTCACAGCCACTTCCCACATCTGTGTATTCTGTGTTTCTGCTTCTCTCACAATGTCTTTCCTTCTCTCCACGCCTACCTACTACCAGGCCCACCCACTGCCCTAGCCAGGGAGAGCAATGGATCCAATTCTTCCCACTCGGGACTTGGCACTGCTTGAGGAATGGTAGACCTTTGCCTTCACAGCAAGTTAAAATAACTATTAAAACCCCAGGTTTAGGCAGGACACGGTTCTCCTAGGCTGTATTTCCTGACTTACAAAGCCTCCAGCAAGCACACGGGGCCCAGAGCATGGAGCTGGTCCCTAGGCTTGGGTAGGTAGGCATTGCCCCAAATACTTCTGTCTGGGCAGAATGACTCTGCTGCTGGCATAGCAAACACTGAGCTTTCAGCAGGGGTCAGCAAAACAAGAGTTACACTGCTCTGTGCCTGCGTCTTCTGCTTGACATGAGGCAATGCCTTGTCGTCAGGTTTGCTCTGAGCCAATAGAGCCGCTAACTGTAAACACTCTCACAAGCCATAGCCACAAATAGCTTGACCTTTCACTCTCCTGGCCCCAGCCATATAAGAACTGTTGGGTACCTATTTAGAATATGCTCTGAAGTCCTGGGGTGGGATTTTCACTCCGAAGAACTTCAGTTCGGTAGCAGGATTGGGTTCAAATGTTTTGTTGCAAAGGCTAAGGTCTTGATCCAAAGCTAGGTGAGCAAAAACCCCTAGATGGTATTAGGAACAGTATGTGTCCCCAGGGCTCAAGAGACCAGAGTTCAGCTAGCTGTGTGGTCAGGCCAGGAGGCCTCTGGGGTCTCATTTAGAAAAGGGTTCTGTGTGTGGAGTCAGATGCAGAACCCTCTTATTCTCAATCGTGGTCAGACCTGGGCAGGTCTATTTCCAGTCCTTGCAGTGAACAGTTGCATTAGCTTTATTGCTAAAGCAAGGCATTGAGATTTCTCAAGCCCAGGCCTGGCTCTAGCAAATCTAACACTTAACCTGGGCCAAGATGACCGCATTGGTTTAATTGACTTAATCAAGGCTGTAAATGAGTTTATCTAAACTCAACAGGGTCATACATGATTGGAATCATTTTCCTAAGGCTGGAACACAACTGGACAGGCTTCTTAGGAAAAGAGGGTGGGGGTAGATTTACTGTGGACTCATCCCCAATAAAATGGGCCCCTTGCTCCAAACAACAAAAAAGCAGTCCCCGTTTTTGCATTCTCAATGATGCTTAATCCAGAAGATGAAGATTTGTGTTCAGGAGTTTTCCTACAAGAAAGCTTCAGTTCCTTTTGCTGTGCTACTACACTGAACATGAAACACAGTCAGTCCTAGAACCCTAAATAACAAGAGAGCTGATAAAGTTTAGATAAAGGGGACATGACAGGGACTGGGCTTAGCAGGTTTTATAAGCTTTAAAGGGAGATGGGGATGAGGCCCGGAAGACAGTCTATGGCTTAAGACTCAAGGTTCTTCTGAGCCTACCAATAGACATGTACTATGAATGCATGAGGCTCCACCAGCCCCCATCTTGCAAGAGGCGGCCGAGCAGTGAATTGCTCACCTGATGTTACACAGCTTCTCAGTGGCTGAGCAGCGACCATAACCCAAGTTTCCTGCCACCCAGGGTATGGCATTCACCTCTGCTGGATAGGAAGCTCGGGGCCTCATTAATAGCACGCATTGAGAGACTGAGGTGCATTGTCACCAGCTTTAATATCTGCCAGAGCAGACTGACTTGGGGATGTCTGAGAGCTCCAACTTCTGTAGTCCAAAATGCCCAGTCCGCTTGGATGAGTTCCTGCCTCTCCAAAGGCACCAGCTGGCCTAGGAGAACTAGACAATGGCTTTACTGTTTGTGCAACCCAATAGCAGAGACCCACTCCAGGGAGCCTCTGGACAAGGCCAACAGATTGCCACCAGCCTGTCAGAAAGATGGGGGGCCCCTCCCCCAATCTAGCCTGAGGCAATGAAAGGGACAGTGGCACTTAATCTTTGGGGAGGGGCAGGTCACAGATCATATGAAAGCTACAGATGACTTTGTCCCACCTCAAAAATAAAGGCACATTATGTCCCAACTTTTGCATACAATTTCAGGGGGTTCACAGGTTTAAAAAAAAATCCAATAAAGAACTCTTGCACTTGTGCTTTTACTTGCCACTGTCTTTTTAGTAAAGAGAAAACCTAGCAAGTGCCCTGCGTGGGCTTCCTCCTCCCTCTTCCGGATGCAGCCTCTGTGCTTGGCCAGACTCCAGAGAGCCCTTCATTTACAGAGTGGGCAGCCCCTTCCTCTTCAGTTCTGGTGGGCAGGGCAGCGTCTCCCCTCTGTTTCTCCTCACTGCATTAGATAGATGGCTGTCACGTCTTCCAGAAGCTTCCCAACCTTTCGGAGTGTAGGCAAATCCAGCATCCCTCCAGGATCGCCTCAAAGGCACCCACATTCTTCCACGACCATGTCTTCGTGGCGATCTAGGAGCACTCTGCCGTTGTCCACGTACAGCATGCTCAGGGGCTTGGTCTTCACTGGGGCACAGCAGGTGGAAGGGACCCGGTGGGGCTGGTAACGTTTGAGCAGACTCTGTAAGAGGGAGCAGAGGAGTCAGTTCACATCCCAGTGGGAAGATCAGAATAGCATTTCTGGGTAAAGAGTAAAAAATGTTAGAGTTAAAGTCAGTTTCTGAGTGAAAAAAAAATTATTTTCATAAAGGAATCAGCATGCCAATATATCAAGTCTAATGTCTAAACTTTAGCTTTTTCTTTTAAAAGACTTTAAATAGAAAGATTCAAAAAGTTACATGCGTCTGGTCAAAGCAGTAGCTAATTTATATGATCTATTGTTCTAGTCTAGGATGAATACCAATTTTTAAAATATTCCAAGAAATTTCTGGAACTATAATTAGTTCCAGAAATATGAAACAGAGAATCACATGGAAATTCTTACGGGAATAGTTTTGCTTGCCAGAGAAGGGCAGATATGAGTCAATAGGAGAAAAGGTAACAACCCCTTGGGCATTTTGGAACCAGGCCCTATCCCTATGATCTAGCAACGTCTTTTCTAATCAGTGTCAGAGTTGGCCACTGGGACTGTCTGGGTCTCTGTGGTCATCCTGCATGTGGCTTGGTGGAGTATGTGGTGTTGAGTGAGGCTCATGGGACCTTTGCCAGGACAGCTCCTCTGAGTCTCTGGCCCCACCAGAGGCCCCGTGAGCTCAGCTCACATGAATGCTCCCCTGAGCCCCTGAACGCCACCTGAGGCTTGGCATGGAGGATACTGCAAGTCCAAGAGAGCCATTCCAGGCTTCATGGAGTAAAATGAAACACTTTGGCTCCATATGATCTTTGGGAACAGGGCAGGCCACCTTATTAGGCTCTATTTTCTTCTCTCCATCTGATTCTCCGTCCTGACACCAGTCCTTCTGTTCCTAGACCTTAGGCTGGTTAGTGGCACCTGATGGCAGCCTATGGCCTTGTCTACTTCTGTGAAATGGGTAGTCCATTCCTGTTTTAGGCAGCAAAAATACCATGGCTGGAACAGCATTCTTTTAACCATAGCCCCATAAATGTGGCCCCCATTTCATCAGTGACGGTTCTAGTGAGACAATACAATAAATGTGCCTATCTCCTGCCAACTGCTATACATGCTGCATGCATGTCATCTCATTAACCCTACAGCATCCCTATGAAAGATGGCATTGCCATCACCATTTACAGGTGGGAAAACTGAGGCTGGAGAGAGTAAGCAGCCTGACCAATATCACATAGCTAGTAGGGAGTTCAGTGCAGGCCTGTCTATCCCCAAAGTCCAGATTCTGAACTTCCTCCCCTAGAATGTCAGACTGAGAAGGAGTTGAGATCCTCTGGTCTGTCCCCCACCCAGTTTTATGAAAGATAAGGAAAAAGTCCCAGGGAAGCAATGTGTTTGAGGCTACCCAACACGATATGACTCCTATAAGCTCTAAGAGGATGCTGTGATGATCGGGTCATCTCTATATCCCCGATACCTAGTGCAGGATTTGGCACCCTGTAGGTGCTTAAATAACTGAATGAATGGACACAGTAATTTAATGGCCAAGCTTCAGTCCTGTCCCCCCCGATCCAGGAGCATGTCCCCATAGCTTATGACCTCGCTTTCCCCTCAAGCCCTGGTATCACACCTGAATGTACGCATGGTTGGTGGGATGGAACTCCTCCCCCACGGGGTTGGGACACTCGCCCTCACAGCGGTAGGCGTCGTAATGCTTGGGGTAGATGATCCAGGAGCCCCATCCGATCAGGTTGAAGTCCACCTGGAACTTGACCTTCCGACACAGTTGGCTTCTGTCTGGCAAGTGATGTCGTCGGTGCCTGCTGCCGGCCTCCTGGGAGAGCTGGCCCTCCTGGGCCCGCCAGGAGCTCTCAGCTTCCCACAGCAAGGTGGAGCCGCCCAGCCGCCTCTGCTCCCGCGGGAGGTTGGAGTAGAGCACGAGGAGCACGTTGTCCACGGGCGGTGTCCGGGACCGCGGCCAGCACTCTCGGGCCACACTGGACATCTGCTCCTCCAGAGCCCCAGGGTGCTTCAGCCACTTGGAGAGGGGCCTGGTCACCTCCAGGACCATGCTGCCGGAGGAAAAGGTGACCTGGGACAGAGTAACTGTGAACAGGTCCATCTGAAGCCGCTCTAAGCAGCCGCCTTGGGCCTGCTGCGAGTCTGGCTTGGGCTGGTGGAAAATCTCAATGGAAAGTGGCTCCTCGGCAGCGAAGGCCCCAGCACTGGGCAGCTGCAGCCGGAGCTCGGCCCACTCCAGGTCCTCTTCTTGGCTCAGGAAGGAGAAGTCAAAAGCGAAGGTCCAGTTCTGCCCGTCGACCTCCACATCTGGGGGGGGAGAAAACCAGGAGGGAAGCAGGGTAAGTGGGAGCCCCCCCAGACTCGGTCAGTATGACTGCCACCATAGCTCATGCCGTGTCCTTGCCTTACGTGAATCATCTCTTAAACTTCACCGAAACCCGACAGGTTGGTAATGTTTTTGCGTCCATCTTAGAGATTAGGAAAATTGAGGTGCAGAGAAGTTAAAGGACCTGACCAAGGTGTCATCCTTGGAAGGTGGCAGAACCAAGAGTAAATCTGGATTTGCCTGACTGCAAAGCCCAAACTCCAAATCACTGTTCTGCTATAGACGCCCGCCATAGCTAGAGAAAAACTGGTAAAAGTTAGATGAGTTCCATCTGTCCCTTCCCTCTTGCCCCTCACACAGGCCAACCCCTCAGCCTTCCAACCTGAACCCTGGGCTTCCATTCACCCTCTGACCCTGGAGCAAGCCACCTTTTTGGGCTCTGTTTTCTCACTGGGAAAGGTGACCTGTTTCACAGGCACAGTGAGCAAGAGATGAGCACATTGGAAAAGCTTGGAGCTTTCAGGGAGCCAAAGACTGGCCACCCTCTTCCCGACCTAGTTCCAGAAGGAGACAGAAACTTCGAGTTTTGGCAACCTTGCATATAGGTTTCTAAAGGTGTTTTGGCATGACCTGGCATGGCCCTTGCAGTTTTCCATTCAGTGGTCTTTCCTATCTACCTACCTGCCAGGTGCTCACCCCTCCTGCCCCAAGTCATTCTTACACCTGGGACACACAGACACACAGAGCCCTGTCACGCCCACCCCAAACAGCCAAACCCAAACCGGATGAGGATAAGGGAACACATTCCATTTATTTTTGGTCTTGGACTAATTTCATCTGATGTCTGGGAATAGCATGTATTTGTGGATCTTCAGGTCACTTAAAAGTTATCCTTGCCGGGCGCGGTGGCTCACGCCTGTAATCCTAGCACTCTGGGAGGCCGAGGCGGGCGGATTGTTTGAGCTCAGGAGTTCAAGACCAGCCTGAGCAAGAGCAAGACCCCACCTCTACTATAAATAGAAAGAAGTTAATTGGCCAACTAAAAGTATATAGAAAATATTAGCCAGGCATGGTGGCTCATGCCTGTAGTCCCAGCTACTTGGAAGGCAGAGGCAGGAGGATTGCTTGAGGCCAGGAGGTTAAGGTTGCTGTGAGCTAGGCTGATGCCACGGCACTCTAGCCCGGGAAACAGGTGAGACTCTGTCTCAAAAAAAAAAAAAAAAAAGGTGATCCTTCACTTTCAAGCCTAGTTTCCTCTTCTTTGCAATGGGAATAACAACACTACCCTCTCTGCAGTATCACAGGATCCAGGGAAATAAAGAGGTTCATTTAACCACATTATTCATTATTTATTCACTTATTCATAAATTATTATTCATAATTGTTAAATTTTTATTTAATTATTAAATAATATTATTTATTATTAAACAATAATATTAAATAATTCATGATTATTAAATTATTCATAAATTATTATTCATTTATTCATAAATTATTTATTCATAAATAAAAGTCAGGGGTTGTTCATTAGAAATAAAACACAGGAGTCAATAACTCCTGTGAATGGGTCCTGGAGGTAGGGACGATCTCTGATTTAGGTCCAGTCTGGGCAGATTGCGTAACAGTTTAATTTTTTATTGTCTCACAGAGCATCTTTGGTCAGAGACTATGAATTTCTCTGGGAAATGCAGCTTGTATTATATTATAAAGGGGCAAGTCCCAGTTTCGGCCTCCTGGCAGCCCCTCCCAGCCCATCTCCAGCAGCTCTTTTTCACTTAATTTCCACTTCCCTCCTCATTAGCACCTGCAGGAGGTAATAACCGGCCCCTGACTAACAATCCAGAGGCGTGGGGAGGGGCTGACATTACCCAGTACCCATTGCCACCCGACCTGACTACCTGGGGGTTAGGAGGACACTATAGCAAGTCCCGGCCACCTGTACCAGAAGGCCAAGAGACAGTGAGTTTAAAAATATTTTAACCCAAGTATCTGCAAATGGCCTTTTAGAAGAAGGCATTCCTGCTTACCAGTTAGGAGCAGGGGTCCCAGAGTCTCCCCATGATGGTTCAAATTCTGCCACCTGCTTTTTGACATTGATTGGTTAGGTTGCTTTCCTTCTCTGGGCCTCAGTTTCCCTCTTTGTAAAGAGGAGATGGTAAGAGTATCTGCCTTCCAGGGGTGTTATGATTAACTGAGGTAATGCATGTAAAGGGCTTTGCCTGGCACAACAATCAAAGTTCAAGACACATTAGCTATCATCACCCGCCTCATTCTTTTTTTTTTTTCCCCCTCTTCCATAAAGATTATTTTGAACTGAATCTGCCTCATTATTACCCAGGTCCAAAAGTTAGAAATGAGGGTGCCCGCCTAGGTGGTAAGGGACCTAGATAAGGGCACAAAGTCATCTGTAAACAGATGGACATTGTGCATGGAGGGGCAGGGAAGAGACTGCTCCTTCCTGCTGCTGGAAGAAGTTTGTGACCCCATAATCACCCCCAGGGCTCCCTGGGACACAGTGCTCACATGTTCTCCTAGATCTGGCTCATCTTAGGAGAGGGGTCCCTAATCTTTTAGGGGTTACTGATGCCTCATGCAAAGCAAGAAAGTTCTCCCCAGGAAAAAAAACCACACACATTCACCCACTAATACAACAAATATGCTTTTAAGGTAGGTATGAGGAAGGGGTTCAGATACTCTGAATACCATCTATGAGAGCCAGGCACAGTAGCTCACTCCTGTAATCCTAGCACTCTGGGAGGCCAAGGTGGAAGGATTACTTGAGGTCAGGAGTTCGAGACCAGCCTGAGCAAAAGTGAGAAGAGTCTCTAAAAATAGAAAAAATAGCCAGGTGTGATGGTACAGGCCTGTAGTTCCAGCTACTCTGGAGGATAGGCAGAAGGATCACTTGAGCCCAGGAGTTTGGGGTTGCTGTGATGATGCCACTGCACTGTAGCCAGGGCAACAGAGTGAGACTCTGTCTCCAAAAAATAAATAAATAAATAAATAAATCCATGAGCTGAATATAGACTTGGCCACACAGGCCCCACTGGTATCCTGAGCCACCAATTCTAATGAAGGAAGGAGTTGGGCTCATGCCCTTAGGTTCTCTTCCCTTCACCTGGCACTCTTGCCCCCTCAAACAAGGCAGCGAGGCTGAGGCAGGATTAGATACTCCCTTAGAAAGGAGGGAGGGGCACGACACTGAGTGCCCACTCTATGTTATTACAGGCGTAGTTACCCGAGGCTGCTTCCTTCCCGCGTGCAAAGTGTTTTACAAACATTGTCTCCTTAAACCCTCCCACTCTTGTCACCATCATTTGCAGACGGAACTGAAGGTCCACGGTGAAGGTGGTTAAACAGCGGCAGACACAGATGCACACCCAGTTTGGTTGGACCCTAACACCCATTTCCTGCTTCTGTGGTGCAGCTTATAAACAAACCCAAGAGAGAAGGGGCGGGTTTAGGGCATCCCATCTCTAGGCTCCCTCCAGGCAGGCTCTTCTCGCTGCTCTTAGAAAATGAGCCCGAATGTACAATAATGTAAATGTGCTGAATGCCGCTGTACATTTAAAAATGGTTAAGAAATTTTTATATACACACACAGTTTTAGAGATGGGACCTCGCTCTGTCTCTCAGGCTGGAGTGCAGTAGCAGCCTCACAACTTACGCAGCCTGGACTCCTGGGCTCAAGCGATCCTCCCACAGCTAGGACCACAGGGAGCACTGCCACGCCTGGCTAATTTTTTATTTTTTGCAGAGACAGGGTCTCGCTATGTTGCCCAGGCTGGTCCTGGGCTCAAGGGATCCTCCCACCTCAACCTCTGAAAATGGTGGAATTGCAGCTGTGAGCCATCAAGCCCACCCCTCGTTATATATGTTTGCACATGCACACACTCTGCAGCAGAAATGGAATAGCCCCCCTTAATTTACAAAAGGGAAGCCAGACAAGTCGAGCCACGTGCCAGGAACACACAGAATTAGGGAGGAGGGTTTGAGGGACCAGGACTCAGTCTTCCAATCTCACAAACCTTCTCGAACTTTCCAGAAGGGCGTGAGCTGGAAAAGTGCGCTCTCCACCTTAGCCCCGTCCCACCCTCAGCGCGGAAGGGCCGCGCATTCGAGCAAATTTCTCTTTGCCCTGCCCCGACCCGCCCAGGGTATCCACCCACCCCACTCTGGCTGGTCAGCAGATGACCCCGCCAGAAAGGGTCACCGGCCGTCTGACCCTAGACCTGGGAGCTAGGAGCCCCTGCCCGCAGGCCACGAGGGGTGACAGGTCGGAGGGGTGGGGTTAGCGGATGTGGATTGCACCGGGCGCTGAGAGCGCCGTCTGGAGCCCGCAGGAGGAGGGCGGCAGCAGGGTCTGCCCTGCCGGGAGGATGTGGATTGGCCTTAGAAGGGGTCCTGGGTCAGGGTCCCCTCTCCTCAGCACCCACCTGCCCGCCGCACTCGCTGCCCAGAGTGCACTGCCACGTCCTCACTTTCAGTTCCCTGCGGGCCCTGACACCCCCGCCCCCTCCAAATCTAGGCCCCGACCCTGGGGCCATCCTGGACACTGGACACGTCTGCAGCCCGGGCTCGAGGACCCAAGGCTGCCTCAATTCTCGATTTCGGGTACCCTGCCCCTAATCCCTGATGTTCCATACCTTGGCCTCAGGTGCTTCCACGCCAGGCCCTGGGACCCATTCACCCTCACTCGCAAGGAGGAAAAATAAAATTGACAAGACAAAATAATTACAGCAATACGAACGACTGTTTGTCGTTACTATGGCCGGTTCCGTGCCGAGCGTTGTACGTGCGTCGTCACCGCGCCCGCCCCAGTCTTACACGGGAGGTGCTGCTACCCTATTCTACAGATGCGCAAACTGAGGCGCCAAAGGTGACGTGACTCCACAGGACCACACGGATGAGAAGAGGCGCGATCAGGCTCCCACCCTAAACCAAGACCCGGGAGGCAGTGGTCCCTGACGGGGACACACCCTGGGCGCCGGAATCCCCTCCCCTCTCGGCCGTGCCCATCCCCCGGCCACCAACGCGGCGCGCTCAGCCGAGCCGCAGACGCGGAGCACCTGCCGACCCAGACCCTTCGAGCCCGGGGCTCGGCACGCGCGGGCGGCGGCGTCCCCGGCACCGAGCCGCAGCCTCCCCGCCGCCCCGGCGCGCGTCCCGAGAGCGAGGCGCCCCGGGGTGCTGGGCGGGCGCGCGGCGCAGCCTACCTTGCGCCTGCAGGCTGCGGATGATGTCCGCCCGGGGCAGCGGGTCGCGGTAGAGGCTCAGCATGTATGCCAGAGGGGACGGCGACGAGGGCTGTCCCCGCGTACGCAGAGACGCGGCGGCCAGCGTCTCGGCGCCCGCCTGGAGCAGGGCCCACCAGCAGTGCAGGAGGAGGAGCGGCAGGCAACGGGCGAGCATGGTGGGCCACCGGGTGAGAAAACTGCCTCTGCCCCTTATATCCCCGGCCTCAGCAGCGGCAGCCCCGCCCCCGCCCTTCCTCCCTCCCGGGGAGCTCTAAGATCTTACAACCCCCCCCCCCACCACCACCGGAGTGGAGGAACGCGGAGGGACCCCCTGCCAGGACGAGGTCAGCCAGGAGGCCTTAGATCCAGGGACCGGGTCTGGGCTCCCTGGCACCCTGCTCCGATAGGTACCAAAGGCCCTGTTGCTGAGACAGAGCAGGCTTGTCCCGCCAAACTCCCAGGTAAGAACTGTGCCATTTATCCCGTGGGAACAAATAGCAACTTCAGTATTGAAGTGCTGCCCGCACTACCTGGTTTCAGCTCAGGATCGCTCACTTTCTAGTCTCTGGGCCCTGCCCTTGTTATTCATCTGCACAACAGTGGTCCCCGCCTTGCCTCCCTTCCAGGTGTAAAGCCAGGTCCGGGCTGGAATTACTTTTAAAGAAATGTAAATCCCTGCCCCAGTGTCAGGCCCCTTCAGTTTTCCTAAACACCTGAGGGCTCTTTCTCTGCCTGCGCTCCCCCACCCAGCCGCAAGTCCTTTCCTAGTTTGGCCAGCACGTTAGCAGCTGGCCAGCACTTGCTGAGCACTTACTGTGTGCCAGGCGCGGCGCGAAGTGCTTTACACACCTCAGTGTCTTTCACAGGATGCCTCTAGCTGGCAAGAACCACAGCTTCAGACCAGAGCAGGTGTTAGGAAATGGAATGAGGCCCAGCAGGCTCAGCCCGGAGCTCCAAACCTATGTCCTCCCACCCCGCTGGGATCAGGACACCTGAGCTGCAGACCACGCGGGCCCTGGACACGCTGCTCACCCAGCCACCTGCTAGCTCCTTAAAGCTGACACTGTCTTGTTCATCCTGCTCCCTTAATACCATCTTTGGGACCTGAAGAATCTTAGGTGAGTAAATAAATCAGTGAATGGCACCAAGTCTGGACTTGCCCGAAGATAAGCATCACCTGGGGTGTTTGTTAAACTATTGATTCCAGGCCTTTGGAATTAGAATTTGGAGAAAGGGCGTGGTCATCTGCATATGTAACAAGCACCCTGGTGATTCTTAGCAAACGACTCTGGAATTTTTCCACAACTTTGCGAATCTGAATGCCCTAGCCCCTAGTGCTCTTGTTGCAATTTGTACCCACTTCTCTACTTTCAGTTTCTTCATTTGCAAAACATGGCTGGAAATCACTCCTCCCGTGTAGATTAAATGAATGTAAATAAGGCTTTGCGGGCTTTAAGACCTGAAGTAATTGCAAAGGATTACACATACAGGTAGTAGAATGAGTACTCCGTGCTTGTCAACTAATGTCCCCAGCCTGATGCTCACTAGCTAGGGGGTGTCAGCCCCAGCGCTCTGTATCGGACCCCACCACAGAGGCAGGGAGCACCTTCATCCAGGTTACGCACATATAAATAAAACAACGATAAATTGTGGTTAGTGCTGACCAGGACTCGGGCACCGAGAATGGCAACACAGTGAAGTTACAGACACCTAGACTGAGGTACGGGAGTCACGCTCAGCTGAGTAGATTCCAGGACCCAGATCTTCCAAATCGCCATGCGCCCTAGAATCCAGGTGGTTCTTTTTTTTTTGAGACAGTCTCACTCTTGCCCTGGCTAGAGTGCCATAGCGTCAGCCTAGCTCACAGCAACCTCAAACTCCTGGGCTCAAGTAATCCTCCTGCCTCAGCCTCCCGAGCAGCTGGGACTACAGGCATGCACCACTGTGCCCGGCTAATTTTTTCTATATATTTTTAGTTGGCTAATTAATTTCTTTCTATATACAGTAGAGACGGGGTCTCGCTCTTGCTCAGCCTGGTCTCGAACTTCTGAGCTCAAACCATAGGCCCACCTCAGCCTCCCAGAGTGCTAGGATTACAGGGGTGAGCCACCACCACGCCAGCCCAGGTGGTTCCTTTATAAACAGGAAGGTTCAGCACAGAGTAGCCTTATCCACCAAGATTGGAGAAGCAACAAAAAAAGATCATATGTCTCCTTTCTGTACTGGACCAGAGCTTCCTTACATGAAGGATAAAGCTTTGTCCATCCTGTGTCCCTGCAGTTTGTGGCACATAGTAGGTGGTCAATCACCACTAAAGTTAAAATGAATTATAAAAACAGCTAACATTTATTGAGCACCTATTGTTAATCATTGCATTGATTTTTATCGTTGTTCCTGTTTCAGAAATGGGAAAATGGAAGCTCAGAGGGAACAAGGTAACTTGCTCAAAGCCGAAGATTTAGGAGTGGAAACAGCCGCCCACAGCGGTCTGCTCTGTCACCCAAACCTCTGCTTTTAGCACCTGTTGCGTCCCCATGCGTGAGGGGTGAAAATGTGCCTTGCACTAAGATTTTTTAAAAATTCTCAAAGTCTTGCCTTTCCCAGGGTCCAGCAGCTGCAGACAAAGCTCACTTCTGATGTGTATTGGCTTAGAGCCACGTGGGAGCCTGGAATTTCTCTCCGACCAGCAGGAGCAACCATCTGACAAAGCCCCTCCACCTCTGCACTTTCTAGGGCTCTGGCACCCCGGAAGAGCCCGAATCTCTCTTTCCTCTTTAGGAGAGAGGCCAACAGTCATCCTCATTGTTTAAGGACATTAGTTAGTACAGGATCCGTTGTTCCACAAGTAAAAGCAGGAGTGCCCTTTTCCCAAGTAGGGAATGACACCTTCTCACTTCCTGTGTCCCAGACAGACTGACCCACAGATTCCCTGACCTGAGAGATAACCTTTGAGGCCTTCCCGGCTGGCAGGAGGCTGAGGGCAAAGGTTCTCAAATGCTTTTCATCTGACCCTTTGGGCCTCTCCCTTGACGTGAGCAGCAATGTGTGACATGGTTAAGTGCTGGGACTCTGAGGTCCAGCCTCCTGGAGGCAGAACCTGGATCCCTCTCTGTCACTTTCTACCTGGGTATATTACCCTAATCACTTACTATCTTAAAGCTTCTGCTTGCTCAGCTGTAAAATGGAGATAAATAATGTCTACTCGGCAGGAATGTTATAAATAGTCAGTGTGTGTAAAGTGCACGGTGCATGTAGCATTTGGTCATGCATTTATTCTTTGAGCACACCTGCTTATCTAGTTAGTGTGTGCAGGTTAACGCAGCTGGATTCCCAGGGGATCGAGGGCACGTGTTTAATGAGCATTTCCTGTGTGCCAGCTGTGGCGCTGGCCACCGTCACACGTGTTAGCCTGTGTGAACAATCCTGCTCACCCTTCACAGAAGCTCTGTGCAGAGAGGCATTTCAGAGATGGGGAAACTGAGGTACAGAGGACTTGAACGGTGTACGCTTTGTGAGGGTGGAGGGCACTTGCTTTGTCATGTCCCTGCAGTGCCTAGCAAACTCCTGGCGCACGGGTGCTCAGTAACTGGTGATCGAATGAACCCCGTATTCCTGAAGCAGGCCCCAAGGTACCTTTGCCTTCCACCTGCTTTTTCCTCCGTCTCTCTGGTCAACTCTTGCTCATCTATCAAGACACAGTTTAAAAGTCCGGCCCCAGCCCCCGACCCCCAGCAATTTTGCAGAGCCCTCTTCTAAGTAAGCAGTTGTCCAGGCTCTCTTTGGTGATGGCCACCGTGCTGTGAGCTCCCTAGAAGCAGGGGCCACTCCAGACTCATTTCTCTCTGAAGCCCCAGCCCTGGCTGGTCACTGACCGCCGCTTGCTGTGATCTGCAGCCTGCACGAGTGGATCCAGTCCCGGAAAGGGTGGAGGCAGGTGTCAGCACAGGCTTCTTGCTTCCCCCTTCAGTGTTGCCCACCCTTCCTGTCAGCCCACCCTGCTGGTCTTGCAGGCTGAAACCCAGCGGTGAGAGGGACTGTCCAGGTGACCCTGCTGGCGCGTGTGGCACTCCATGATCTGGGGATAGAGATAAGCCTCCATCTCCAGCCTCCCCTCCAAACCCCACGTACCCCAACAGCACTCCAGCCCTACCGAAACACCTTCCCCAAAGTCCAAAGATGCTATTCCTCTGCCCCCACTTCATTCATACAAAACATTCCTGTTTATCCCACAGAATCCATCCTAGGGGGCTCTTCTTCCACGAAGCCTGCCTCACGCGGTCTCCCTCTCTCTCCGGCGCTCTCCCTCTGTGGCCTCCTCTTCCCTCAGGCTCTGATCCCAGCCTTTCTTTGCTTATGGGACAGGGTCCTCAAGCTCCACGTGGTCCTCAAGTCCGGCGGGGTTGTCCATCAGCAAGCCTGGTGTGCTTTGCTTGGTATTCTTCAGAGCGCTGAGCCCTGGTACTCAGCAAACAGGCGACAAATCATGCTTGCAGCTGGCCTTGGCTGACAGCAGTGTGTCGTCTGCTGCTAATCATATTTTGAAAAGTTTTAAAGTCACCAACAATGAGAATTTTTGAGATTTTGCATAAAATAGTTCCCCCCCTTCATTTGAAAATGGAAAGGTTCAGACCCTTATTTCCACCTGACACTTTCCCTAAAGCTGCATAGTCACTATTCCTGTAGGCAGCGTCTGTTCTCATAAGTGCCATGGTCCCCATCCCCACTTACCACACCCACTTCCCTGGCCCTAAGGACAAGCGAGTTTGAGACCCTCGCTCTGAGCTGGATGAGAGAAAGACATTCTGGAAGCAATCAGGAAAGGCAGACGGGAGGGGTCTTGGGTTAGGCACACCCCATCGTCCTCCACAGGGACTAGCCCACGGGTTATGGGTGTCTGGCCAGACTGGATGAGATAGACATAATCTGTTATTTTATAAATGCTTAACATCATGTGCTTGCGTTATCTAATTTACCCTTCCTGTCAATCCTATGAAGCAGATTGGATGTTTAATCCCATTTTACAGCCGAGGAAACTGAGGTTCAGAGAGGTTAAGCAGCGTGCCCAAGCGGAAACAGCTAGCCGGTGGCAGGGCTGTGATGGGCCCTAAGTCATTCTGACTTGGGAAGCCGAGCTGGGTAGTGCCCTGCCCCAGCATGGTCCCTTATCACTTCCCTTGCACAGAGTGGCCTTTGCCAACTTCCCCTTCTAAATCGCTGCCCTATCACTCTGTTCACTTTCTCCACAGCCCTTCCACAGTTAAAAGTTAACTTATTTTGCTTGGTTCCGTGTATTTTTTTTTTATCCGTTCCTGTCTCCCAGCACTGGGCTCTGAGCCAGGTTCCTTGTCTGTTGGGCTCATCCCTGGACCCCAAGCTGTTAGCACACTTCAAAGTAGGCAGTTCAGATTTGTTAAATGAATGTATTTAACCCAGTGCCTGCACTGGGGGGCAGGGGGGGCACAGAGGTAAGAAGGTGGGGACAGGGAAGAGGCTGCTTTGTCCTGTGGCCACCAAAAGGACATACGCCCTGCAGGTTACCAGCTTCCTCTGGTTTCAAGTTCTTCCACCTTACTCTCCTGAGCACGTAGAGGTGTATACAATAGGTGCTCATTGAGCACTCAGTATGTCTGTCTTGGCATGCTGACGTCTTGACATCAGCAAGGCAATGCCTCTTAGTGTGGCTGTCTCCTTATGGACAAGATCCACGTCGCCCGCCCCTCCGCGTGCCTCTGTGGGCCTCACCGCGGCCCTCCCCCGCCCCCCCTTGTTCCCTCTTGTGATCCTTGCAGGAGCTCTGTGACCTGAGCAGGGGACTCCCAAGCCCATGCCCCCACAGCCCGCTGTCCTCCCCAGCCGCTCCTGGGTGGAGCCTGTGCTTCCCACGGGGTCAGGGGGGGAAGGCTCAGCCCTGCCTGGGAACCCCGTGGAATGGAAAGGGTTTGTGAAACAAACAAAGAGACCACCAGGAAGATGCCCTCTCTCCTCCCACTCCGGAAGCTTCTCAGAGATTCCCACAGCCCAGCCAGCCACCTCTGCCTCCTGCCTCCCACCTCGCCGTGTCCCCTCCACCGGGAGTCGCTGGTGCCGAAGTTCAGCTGGAGTTTGCTGACCAAACTCTGCGCCTGGGGCTGGGACAAGGGCTCTGTGTTTGTGAGTGGGAGGGCACGTGCGTGTGTAGAGGGCGTGGACGGGAATGAGAACTGACAACAACACTAGGGAGTGCTCGGGGTGCTCGCTGTGTGCCGGGCACAGCAGCTCAGTGTCTCCCCAAATCGCTTGATGATAAGAATCACTCAGGCACTTATTAATAATAAAGGGAGTCCCCAAAGTCATACTGCACTATTATTAGTTCACGTTTAAGATTTAATTCTTAATTTAATTAATTTAATTCAGGCCGGGCGCGGTGGCTCACGCCTGTAATCCTAGCACTCTGGGAGGCCGAGGCGGGCGGATTGCTCGAGGTCAGGAGTTCAAGACCAGCCTGAGCAAGAGTGAGACCCCCGTCTCTACTAAAAATAGAAATTAATTGGCCAACTAATATATATAGAAAAAATTAGCCGGGCATGGTGGCGCATGCCTGTAGTCCCAGCTACTCAGGAGGCTGAGGCAGGAGGATCGCTTGAGCCCAGGAGATTGAGGTTGCTGTGAGCTAGGCTGACGCCACAGCACTCACTCTAGCCTGGGAAACAAAGTGAGACTCTGTCTCAAAAAAAAAAAAAAGATTTAATAACTTCATATGTATAAATGATAGGAACTTACAAAACCATTCTTTGATAATTTATTTAAATTTATTTTATTCTTATTTAGTTTTGTGATGTTTGAATAATACATTTTAACTTAATTTTTTGTTTCAGTCAACATTGCTATCATCAAAAAGCATTAATATGAAAAATATATTATTCAAAATTCAAAACTACCCAAAAGTCTGTGAATAATTCAAGTTCAATGAGGAATGGATAGGCCAACTATGGCGGCTCACTCCTATAATCCTAGCAATTTGGGAGGCTGAGGCAAGAGGATCACTTGAGGCTAGGAGTTCAAGACCAGCCTGAGAAAGAGTGAGAGCTCATCTCTACAAAAAATAGAAAAATTAGCCTGTGTAGTGGCACACACCTGTAGTTCTAGCTACTCAGGAGGCTGAGGCAGGAGGATTGCGTGAGCCCAGGAGTTTGAGGTTGCTGTGAGCTATGATGACACCACTGCACTCTAGCCCAGGTGACAAAGTGAGACCCTGTCTCAAAAAAGAATGTATAAACAAATTGTGGTATATCTACATATTGGAAAACTATCTGACAATAAAAAGGACTATTGAAACCCATGAGAGTGGTGACTGTCAAAACAATGATGCTGAGTGAAAGACGCCAGACAAAAATAGTACACATGGGATGATTTCATTTATATAAAATTCTGGAAATTGCAAACTCACATATCATGGCAGAAAGCAAATCAGTGATCGCCTGTGGAGTGGGGACAGGGTGGGGTAGCCAAGGGGCAGGAGGAAAGTTTTAGGGGTAACAAATATGTTTGTTATCTTGGTGGCAGTGATGGTTGTCTACATGTCTAAGCTTATCAAAACGCACACTTCATGTGCAGTTGTGTGTCAATTATACACACAACTGGAAGCTGGAAAGAGGAAGCTGGAAAGAAGAATTTAAACGTAATAAAAATTACAAGTTAGTCTTCAAAATTTGTAAAACTGATAAGCGTAAAAGGAATTTAAATAGTTAACTGTGATGTTCTTTGTAAGTTTGTAGCATTTATACTTCTGAAAACAGGAGCATACTTAATAGAATATATTTCTAGTAAAGCTTAAAAAGTGCTCTAAGACTTTTGGGATACTAACGTCTTATAGGTCTGTAGCCTCAGTGGGCCTGGAGTGGGACTTAGGAATATTTGCCCTTCCAGAGAGTCTTACTAGGTAAGATGGGAAACAGAACATCATCTCTTGCTTTTTTTTTCTCTCTCTCTCTCTCTGACTTTCCACGAACCCGCGAGGTAGGTGTTTCTTTCTAAAGATGGGGGATCTGAGGCTCAGAGAGGCTGGGTGACTTGCCCAAGGTCACACAGTTTGTTAATAGTTCTGGGATTGGGGTGCAGGCAGTCTGACTCCAAAGCCCACACTCAGGGTCCGGGCTGGCGGGATCTCCAGGCTGGTGCATCCGCCACCAACATCAAAGGGCCCCAGACTTCAAAGGCAGCTTGGGGGGAGATGCACATACCGGGCTGGGTATGCAGGGAAGCCTGGGAGAGCTAATACGATTAGCCAGAGACTCATCAGACTCTTGGGGCAGGAAGTATCTTCACTGAGCAGGTAATTCACCAGAAGTGGCTTGAATACATTCTCACCCACCAACCACCCTGGGAGCCTTTCATTCTAAGGCTACTAACAAAACCTCTGGACACTTGGGAATTAGGGGTGAGATGGGGGCTGTGCCAAGTGTGTGTTCATTCCATAAATGGAAACACTTGTTACAAGCCAGCTGTTACCAAATTTGTGCCAGGCATAGCACTGAGTACTTTGGATATATGTCTCATTTTTACCCTGAAACTAGGTACAGGGTAACCATGTTCCATGCACAACTCCAAGGAGTTCTTTTCATGTTGTATTCTATAAGTGTAATTATTCCCATTTTACTGATGAGAAAACAGAGGCTTGGGTTGCTTAAATACCTGCCCAAGGTCAAGTTAGCACTAAGTGGCTGAGCTAGAATTGGAGCCTAGGTCTGTTTCCATGCTAATCTCCATTCCCTGCCCTGTCAGTCAGGAGGGGACAAACAGCTAAGACCCCAGTGTGCTCTTCCCTTGCCCCCGCGTGAGGAGCAGCAGGGGTTAGCTGTGTGCCTGTCTGCTCACATACCACCCATACATCTTTAGGGAATGGGGAATGGGCAATCCAATGCTTAGATAATGTCCCCATGATTCCAGATGGTATAACAAGGCTCGTCCCCAAGTCATCCCATTGCTCCCATGTCTGTCCACCCATACCCCAATTATTCTCCCACCAGCCTGCTCTCCAACCCCCTCCCCCCCCACACACAAAGACTGCTGTTTCAGAGCCGGAAAGGCCAGGAGTTGTGAGGTCTGAGGGGGGCCTGGAGCTCAAGTTCAGGGCCACATCCCCCAGCTCCATCCAGTCTTGGCCAGACTGGTTTCCCTGCCAGGGGGCTCCCAGCCCAGCCTTCCTGGCCTATTTTTGCACGCCCTTGCTCTTCCACCCCACCTCTCAGCTCCCCTTTTCTGTCTTCTCTGGGGAGGCATCTCTTCAGATGACCCTGTTTCCTTCCCCACTGGTACGATCTAAGGTCACATACCCTTCCTCTCCCTGTAACTGTCTCATGTCCTGAGCTGCCCAGCAGGGCTGGTGGGGTTAGTAAGAAAAATTCGGAGGGACCTGCCCTGCTGGGAAAATGCTCATTGCTGGGGAAGTCCAGCCAAGGAAACTCCCTGAGGGCAGATGTGGGGGAGCAGGAGGGGGTGTTTGTTTAAATTTGTACCAGTTAGACTGTGGCATGGTGGGGGAGGGGAAGCGGGACACCTAGGTCCTCCTCCCAGCTCAGCCCTGACCAGCATGTGACCTTGTCCAGCCTCAGTTTGTGCATCTGGGACGATTCCCAGCTGCGGCCTGGCACTTGCCTCTCCCATGCTTGCTGGAGCTCCGAGGCCAGTGGGTCGGAGTATTTCCCAACATTCAGGACCAGCAGGTGGAGCTCTCTGCCCCTCCCCGCCCGTTGATGGAATCCAGCCCATTTTCCCCCTTAGCTCTTACGTGTTGTGCTTTTCTGAACACACAATGAATGCACACTCACTGTAGAAAATGTGCAGACCAACAGTACGTAGAGGAAGAGAAAAGTCTAGATGTGATTGTGGTTAACATTTTGGGGTACATCCTTCCGGTTTCCCCCTCTTAGGCATTTATGTCCATGTGCATCTTTTACTTAGAAGAATCGCACTGTGGGAATTGCTCTGTACATTGCTTCTTTCGTGAAACCTGAACATCTTTCCAGGCCAGAAGGCACTGCCCCACTGCCATTTAAAAAGAAATGTTGCTTATTCCTCAGGCCTCCTCCTCCGAGAAGCCAGCCTAGGTTTCTCCAGCCTGGTCAGCCTCTCTTTCAGGGCCCTTGCGCCATCCTCCCTCCTACCCAGCTCCTCCTAGACTATGAGCTTCCTCTGGACCCCTGCACTCAGCGTCTTGTGTATGCGTAATAGGCGTTCCATAAATGAGGCTGAAAAGGGCAGTTTTCTTGATTGTTATGGAGAGGAGGCCGTGGCAAAGGAAAGGAGCACTGGACCTGGAGTCAAAGTCGTGCTCCAGCGTTTGTGCCTGCCTCTGGCTTCGCTCTACTGTTTGTAGCACAGGGACTTAATGGTATGTGCGGGGCGGTGCCCGGTCCGGCGCCTGGCACAGCCGAGCGCTCGGCGGGGGCTCGAGGAATGGCAGGCCAGACGGAGCCCCGGGAGGTGAGCGCGCCCGGCGCCCCGAGGGGCTGGGGGCGGAGGCCCAGCGCCCGCCCCCGTGGGAAAGCACGCGGAGGGCGACCCGGGCGAGTCTGCCGCGGGCGGCGCCCAGAGCTGGCTGCGGAGCGGAGCGAGAGGACCGGAGGTCCGAGGCGGCGGTGAGTGTGCCCGCCCTGCGGGGTCTGTTGTCGCCACTGGGGTGGGGAGACCCCTGTCGCCTGGCCCCCGCCCGAGCGCGCTGTGCGTCTTGCCCACCGCGGCAGCTCCCAGGCCCTGCGGGTCCCGCCGCC